GTCAGTAAAGCTGGGGTGGCTGTAGGTATTGTTTAAAAAAACACTGACTGGAAATGCACCATAAGGAAACTATTTGGTGTGTCACTACCAGGTGACAAACAAAACAAACAAAATTAAAAAGATTACTATGAAAGTACATTATTAATGTGCCCATTTTAACTAGACTTGGAATATTTAAAAATAACTGCTCACCTCCATTTCAAAAATGTCTATAATGCAAGAATTAATAGTCTCTATATTAGATTTGTCCACACTATCTTAGCATATTTTCCTACTTCTCAGCTACAATGATTTTGATAGCTTTGGATTTCCTGTAATTCCTGAAATAGGGCTAGGTGACTTAAGGGTCTGGGAAATGCATTTTGAATTTCCAGAAGAGCAGGAACTAGTTCTCGTACTTCTAAATTCCACTGTTCAGCAGACCTGGTCAGACCAGACATGCAAAAGGATGGGTCTCAATTTTTAACTTTATTTCCTGCAGCAGAGCACCAAAAGAGTTTGTTTCTATGAAAAGTGTGCTAACCTACACACAGAAGAGGCATACAAGGACGTTAAGTGACATTACATCGATACGCTTTGAGCTCCTTTTCAGATGCTCCTCGGCTGTTTTTCATCTGTAAGCTTCAGACTGTGATGGTGCTCCTTCCCTCGTCACATGGATGCAGATGGAGAATCAAAGTGTTTCTGCGGGGTGGTGGCTGCCTGTAATTTACTGAGCGCAGCGGTCAGTCACTTACGCCCAGACAGTTTTAATGAGAGGATGCCTGAATGAGAGCGGTACCAGGAGAAGAAGCTCTCACCGAGCCCTGACATTCTGAGAAAGTAAGCAGAGTTCATCGAAACAGCGCTGGCTGTTTTTCACTGCTGTGATGATAAGAGCTTTACCAGGAACAATCCCGTCTTAACTGGATAACAATCAACAGAAATATTGAGTGTATGCAAGTACAATAATTTTATCTGTTTACATCTTCATTCTCTCACCTGGAACAGCAGTGTAAACATTGTTTAACTCAGCTGTATGATTGACCGTTACTATAAAAGGCCAAACATTACTAGAAGGAATGAATATCCTCCACCGACTTTCAAGTTTCTCTTCTATTGATGAATTATGAAGTTGTAGTCTTTTTGATCAAATAAATGTAAATGACACTATGAGCAAACATACATGTGAGATCGTGTATGATCTGTTGCTTGAAGTATAGCCATTTTTATGTTGACTAAGGTTTATTGGCTGTGGCAGCCATCTTGAAATGGATTGATTCCAATTTTCACGAGTTCTCGATAAACCTCCAATAATTATTTTTGTGAGAATTTCACTACAATTTGTGGTTCTTGAGAATTTTTTTTAACAGACAAACTAGCTTGACATCAATGGTTAATAATAAAGTTTTAAGCAAAGATGTTGTGAAATGTGTTGTGCTCAGAGTATCTGTTGCAAATAGCTCTCAGCTACTACCAAGCCGAATTTTAGCTTAATATCTGTAGCAACGGCTGAGTTACGGCCATTTCTGTGTTTGCTTCATTTGCTTAGCTGTGGTTGCCGTCTTGAATAGGATTGACTCTAAACGTTGAACGATTTGCTTTCTGAAAGAATCATTAAAATCTATCCACTGACTTGAGATATTTTACTGACGCTTCAGACAAATGAACACGGACACAGGCAAAAACATTTTGGCCACAGGCGATGGCTGCAAGAGAATTAAACAAATGTGAATTTTCAGGATAAATGCTGCATGTAAGGTGCACTTTGCAGGCAGTGATTTCTTTCTGTTTGTTTGAATAATTTAGGCCATATTCCTGTAATAACTCCCAACTTGTTGGTTGTTTACTTATTTATAATCACCGAATGTGGCTGTGAGGGGAAGCCAACCACCTTATCAAGAAATTTTGTTGAAACAGCCTCATCTGTGACTTTGGGGCTGTTTTAGAAAGTCACTTAAGCCAAACAGCGTGGGATCATTTTCAGGCAGATGTTTGCTCCAGTTGTTGTCTTTAATTAGAGTGAAACTGTGAAAATAGTAACCGTAACTCTGTGATTCTGTGGTTGAGTCTTTCTCTTTTTGTTTCAGGATTGGTAAGATAAAGATCACTTTAGGAAAAATAAATATGGGGCTTTAAGCAGCATTTTGTCACATACTGACAGTTTTTTAGTAAACAAACTGCATCTGAAGAACCACACCACATGTATAGTACCGGTAAATGTATGTATTTTGGGTTTCCATTTTTTATTCTTTGATAATTTGTGCTTGTTTTTGCAATTAAATTACTTGGAATGTATCGAAGTGCTTCCTGACTTTTGTAACAGCCACATTTAGAATTTGAGAAACAACTTTTTGATCATAAAGCAGCTGCAGATAGTTTTTATTTATTTATTTTTTTTTTTTTTGCAATAACGGTTGGCTTCTTTTCATTCTTTTGGTTTCTCAGTTGGAGAGTTTTCAGAACCAGTTTGTGTGTAATGTTTAAACATACAGATAGTTCACATGGTTTATCTATTTTTAGATAGATAAAGGAAAGACAGCCTGTCAGAAAGTCAACACCCCCTTTGATTTGTGATAGAAGGTTGAAAAAATGTTTTTTTGCACATTAGTAACTGGCCAACAGATAAAGATCAAAATTCGCTCTGTGCAGCTCATACTTTGTCTTACAATAAACAGAACAAGCACAAAAGTTAATTTTTTACAGAAGAGTAACTGTTCCACCACATATACATTAACCGTGTATTGATTTCTGCATTCAGCCTGTAAATCTGTGCCTTTTCTTAATTCACTGTTTTATATAACCACCTTAAATGGAAACTAATAGACGGATAGCTTTTAAGTGCATGCATTCTTTGCTGTGTGACTCCATATAAGGGCATTTTCCTTACTAGGCTGCTCGTTTCAGTCTCATATGTGTCTGTGAAGTCCAAGAGGAGTTTACTGTAAACACTGCGTGTCCGTGTCCGTACACTCATGTTGTGCCATCTGTGGCCAGCTGGTTGGATAAAAGTCTCACTGGCGCCGATCATTAACTGGATAATCAACTCATGTGTTTAAACACATGCTGATGGTTTGTGTTCATCTGTTAATAATTCTATTTATGGTTGTTTGATGCTGAAGCAATAACTGCTTCATGTATGGGACACTTTCAGGCATCAGTGTGATGTAATGATGCTGAACTTCAGGTGCTACTTTGACTGTTTGTAGTTTAACTTGCCAAAGTAGACAAGTAGACTCCGGGTGCTTCCACCACTAGGTGGAGCAGTGGGCAGCTATCGGAAGCGTCCGGGGAGCAACTGCGGATGAGATGTCTCTGAGCAGGACACCTCATCCACAGTTGCTCCCCAGGCGCTTCCAATAGCTGCCCACTGCTTGGCCTGGTGGTGGATGGGTTAAATGCAGAGAGCCTATTTCGCCACTGTATGGGAACATACAATGATGACGACACACACATTATTTAAGTTAAACAACATGAAGCAACTAGTTTTGAATTGCTCAAATATACAAAAAACTGTACCTGGCTGCACTTTTGTGTCCCCATTAGTTTGTGAATGTATAAATTACATTTTAGAAAACAATACGTTACATAAAAGAAAGCAAAAAGACCCTATCAAGTGGAATAAAATTAAAAAAAATAAAAATACTTTTGGTTTATATTGTGCAATAACAAAACAAAAAAACTTACAGATTAACCGCAGTGGTTCCCAATCCTGGTCCCTGAGGAACACCATCCTGCATGTTTTGTTGCTTCCCTGCTCCAACACACATGATTCAGTGATTTAATTTTGTCCTCATGTTCTGCAGAAGTCTATTCATTACCCATTTATTAAAAGCAGGTGTGTCGGAGCAGAGAAACAACTAAAACATGCAGGATGGTGTTCCTCAAGGACCAGAGCTGGGAACCCCTAGTAAAAAGAGAAGAGATTTATGCATTGACTCAAAATAATCAACAGCTTGTAGGGCAACCAAAAAGGCTCTATTTTTTTGGTTTAAATCTGGACCTAGATAAACCATTTGGTTTGTGAACCTGAGAATTATTTAAGATATTTGTGTTGATGACATTTAATGACTTACAAGTTTTACATCTGAAGCAGCAAACTTGCTGTCTTAATTGTAACACCAACTTAAAGGAAACATAAAATCACCATTTTTAAAACAAAGAATTAAAGTAAGTGCTCCACTCGTGCCTCATTTAAGTATACAGAAATCATTCAAATCAAAATGTAATCCAATATGAACTGCAATCACTAAGAAATAAATATTTTGTTATGTTGAAACTATCTTTAAACTTCTGGATGCTCACATTTGTGTTTTTGTCTGGAAAAATTGGTCATTTCTGAATCTTGTATCTGATGGATTATCTTTTTGTTTCCATGTCCTTCAGGTCTCGGCAGCAGCCCAGTTTACAAACTCACCACCACACCCACTGTGCAGGAGTGTCTGAATCGAGCATGTGCAGGGACTGGTAAGCGGCTCAGAGGAGGGGTCAATGGAAGAGGACCCGGCAGCAGGCCTCGGCTGTTGTCTAAACCTGAAGGTGTGTACTCTCTAATTGCAACATCGGAAACAAAATATTCAGTTCTCCTAAAACTTTTTTTTTTTTTTTTTGCCACTGTATAAAGATTTAAAGCTTACTGTATAGCTAGTGTTGTGTAAATTGTCCTTGAATCAATAAACCATGATCAGTGAACCTCTTTTTATTTATTTGAGTTCATCCATCTACACACATGATAAAAAGAAGCAGCTTTTTCATTCTGCTACTGTAAACTCAGTCCAGAAGCTCAAATGCAAACAATCATCTCGGTGCCTTTCTGCAGACTTTGGCTGCATGTTTAATGGGGAATTCAGTTCAGAATCCTGACATCTGGACCACTTGGGATAGAATATACTGCCCTCTTCAGTTTCCAATAGAAAATGCTTCAAGATTTTCTCTTGTGGAAATCATCAAAGCATTAATTTGCATTCATATTTTTTTGTTTTTCTTTCTCTCTATTCTCCCCAGTGCCTCCAAAGCCAGCACACCTAAAGAGCCCAGTGACGCCGGTCTCGTTCCCTTTGGGCCTCACCCAGAAAACACCGCTCAGATCCAGCATGGAGGACAGAGGAGGAAAACCTGGGTCTGTGACCCGGGAGAGAATAAGGGACAAATCAAACAAAGTATCAGACCTGATCAGCCGCTTCGAGGAGAACCTGTGCGTACTATCATTTTTCTTTGACTTGATGTTCTTTAATTTCTTTCTTTCTTTTCCCTACTTTGAATTAAGATTATTAATAAAAACTAATGAAGTTAAGTTTTGTACAAAAATACATTGTAAGTGCCGAGTTGTTAATGACTGCTGGACTTGACTGAGGATGCTTAAGCGGAATCGTTAAATTTAAAAGAAGCAAAACATTAGGTAAAAGCTGAAATGAACTAAACTCTAGCTAAAGGGCTTAAAGAAGCAAAACGCTATAAAAATGATGCAAATTATTAACTAAAAATTCAAAGTAAGGAAGCATGAGCTAAAAGCCAAACGTAACAAAATAGTTAAAATCCAAAAATGGCAGAATACTAATTAAGACAAAAGAAACTGAATTCATAACGCTAAAAGAAGTAGAATACTTAATTAATTAATTAATAATACTTAATATATATATATATTTTTTTTACAGATCATTTAAAATTAACTTACCATGCTGTGTTCAGCAAAAAATGCTACACATTTTCTCCCTGTTTTGGCTGCTCTGAAAGTGAAACCTAAGTGATCTGCCATGACTTGAAAGTAGTCTTCATGCTCCCTCTGCTGGATATATTCTACAATTACAGCTGTTCCCCTTAATTTTAGGGGTGAAAATTAGAAGTGCTTGTAACGGCAAATAATGGGACATTTATCACCAATACGATAGGTCCCCAAAGGCCTATATCGGCCCTGACAATATATCGGTTGGGCTCTAATTCAAAATATTCCAAAAGGTAGTTAAATTGCAAAACTAAACAAAAAAATTACAAAATAATAGGCAAACGTGAATTGTGAATCAATATTCCCACAACTGACAATTAACAATGAGAGAAACAAATATTTTAAAATATCTGTCACTTCAGGGAAGGTGCAATAAAATGCTCTCAATGAGGCTTTTGTAATCAAAGTGACAAAACGTTTTTTCTTTTCTTAACGTTTCCTACTGGCTCTTTCATGCATGAAAAGCAGAAGCACCATGATTAAAGTTCTCACTCAAGCCTGACTGACTGATTGTGTGTCTGATGACAGCTGTAGTAAGTAGAGATAGTGGAGATTAGTCTGTCCGGACCAGCTGAGTGTTGAGGGGGAGATGAAACGAGATTTGTGTGGGCGAGTAAAAACGCAGGTCCTCATTCAGTTGTGGAACAGGATTTGCTGCTGTGAGACTAAACCCAGGAGGCAGAGGTAGGATATCTTCAAGTAAACCTTCTCTTAGATTAAATGTATTTTTTTTTAGATATTATGCATTTTTGTTGTCGCATATTGAGTTAGAGGATTGTGTTACTTTTATGAAGTAACTGCAACTACCGAGTTTAGTTCTAGCGCAGAATTAAATTTCCTCGAGGCTAGAAACCTGAAAACCGTATGTGTTCCTTTTATGTTTGCGTTTTATAACAAGGTTTAGATTCTAGATGTAGATTGTAGCTGCAGCCCTTCACTGTGAAAGAGGCACAGTAAAAGTGCTGTTTTGTATAAAACACCTAAAATTGTATTAGGCCTGCAGTAGTTGCAGCCCACTAAAATTTGACTTCTCTTGAAGTCTGTATCCTCTTCTTTTTTTTTTCCAGCTTTGACTCTAAAAACAGAATTGCGAAATCTAATCTAATTTCCAGGCTTTATTTACATTTTTGCAATATTTAAGTGTGTGTGTGGGGGGGGGGGGGGGTTGCAACCTTGTGCATTTTTCTTTCTCATTCAGACTGTCGAGCTGTGAATTGTTTACTAGTAGCAGAAAGCAGGGACAGTCCTCTGAGGCCAGAATTAAATTAGCTTACTAATGTACTAATCTCATTTACACAGCACTCGGCGGCACTAAAGACACCTAGAGAGTCGCACTGGAAGCGAAACTGCAACTCGTCTAGTTCAGCTTGTTTTAGCACATTTATATCCTGAAACTCTTGCTGCGCTGTTTTTGCACAAAGGGAGAAAAGGGAGTTGGTGTTTGTGGGTTTTTTTTTTTTTTTAATGCTGCCTCCCAACAGTTATTTAAGCTTTTTTTTAATCTTCTGAGAGGTCAAACATTGGTTTACATTAATGCAGCTCAGGTGGTCAGCAGCCTGGGACTGATTCATTTATAGAGTAACTTCAAAAGCCTGTTGTTGTTGTTCCTCTATACACTCTTCCTGTTTCTGCTGAGCAGTACCCATGATTGCAACAAAGAATGTCTCTTGTATCAGTAAAGTTAAACACCAAATATACATTTTACTAGACGCAGTCTTTTAAGCGGTGGCAGACAGTCCATAGGTGCAAAAATCATTCGCCTCACAAAGTAGTTCCTCCTAATAATTAATGTAAATGACTTATTTACTGAACTTGCTGTATATTGTTTTGTTCTATGTACTTTTCAACTATTTTGACAATTTTAAGTGGAACTTAAAATAATTTTTAGTGATTCATCGTCGAGTTTTTTACGTATTTACCGTTATGGAGCAGTATATCGTTCAACGACCCGCATTCATCAAGCGGATCTGAACGTGCAGCCAGTGATCCGAACAGGCAGGTGTAATAAAAGTTTCATTTGGAGTGTCTGGTTTTTGTTCCTGTGGACACATTTGGCTGGTTTTAGTTCATTGATATGACCTCTACCTAGACCTGACGAGAGCTCAAACCCAGGAACAGCTGCAGTGAAACCTGCTGAGACCAACAGTGGAGATATTCTGTTTTTAAAACTATTGGGAGCAGTCATAGGGTACTAGAACAGAAAACTGAGAACAGAGGAAAGTCAAAGAACAGGAAGCGTCCACCAACATGGTAGGAAGTTAATTAAACAATGGTTTAAATGGTCAGTAACAATGGTCAATGGTTGAAGCAGTGGTCTTGTAACTGTTTGTAGGTTCCATCCCCACTTGAATCTTCTATTTGATTTGGTGATGATATATTGTAGCATCTTCTACTTCACTGAACTTTTTCCCCCCTCTCATTTAATTGTGTTAATCTGGAGTATTATTTCAGAATTATTACTTCAAATCAAATTAGAAGTCCAATACAGAAAGCTGTGCATTTGTCGGCTGGGGGTGAGAGGTGTGTCTTTCTCTGATTTATTAGACCGGTCTGTTTTTCACACAACACAGCCTTGAACTGCGAAGGGAGGAAAAAGTCAAAAACTTTTCTGACACACAAACAAAAGACAACAACAGCAACAATAAACTAAATATAATTCAACACGCATCCGTTTTTTTTTTTTTTCCACAGATAATGTAATGCAATTTATAAAAAATTTTAGGAACTTAATGTCTGCACCAGTAGTATTTTTGCTCGGGAGCCGCCACTGCATTTAAGCGTGTCGGGTTATAAATGTCAGCGCAGAGATCAGACAAACAGTGGCTGCTGTTTCTAATGCATGAGGTGAGTCAGTCGCAGGGGGAAACAGCTGCTGGAACAGGATGTAGAGCAGCGGAATTATAAAATTATGCGCATGCGTGCTTATTTTTTGGGTTGATCCACTCTTCACAATTTATTGTTTCTTTCGCAAAGTATTTCATGTATTTGAGTAAAGATCAGAGCTGAATGAGCTTTCTGTGCGTGAAAGTAGGACAGCATGTACCTACTGAGAGTAATATTTCTCCTGTCCTCGTTATGACTGTAGCTCAGGTGTTGTTTTTTTCTTTGCTTGTACTTCCTTTGCATTACAGCAGCTCTTTACAACGTCACAGGACAGCAAGATGTTTGTGCGTTTCCTCAGCTTTATTTTTAACCCTCCCACCCACGTGCAAAAGCACTTTGCTTACTGTATTACTCCACATTCAGCCAGCCTGAGCAGCTACTGACCGAATGTCTTCCTGTAATCTTTTATCGCATTTTAAAGCTCTTATTTAACGCCTTCTGTGTTCTCGTCACATTGACACACTTCCTCCTTTGATTTATCCTCTCTTCCTCCAGCAGCACAGAAAACAAGAAAGACTGCTCGCCTGCAAAACACATCACCAAGACTTCGAACTACAGCGCAACTCAACGCATCTTCCAGAAGACGGAGGCCTGCAGGATTCAGGACAAACCCGCCCTTGTGACGGCCGCAGCGCAGGATGCCAAGAAGCCATCAGCTAATGGGGTGCTAGTGCAGATGGAGCAGGGAAAACCAAAGAAGGAAGAAGAAGAAGAAGAAGAGGAGGAGGAAAAGAGTTATAACTGTGTGAGGACAGAGACTGCCGAGCTTGTAAATGGAGACGTGGGAAATGCAGAGCAGAGTGAAGATCATTTACCTGCACACACAGACGGGACTGCTGCAGAGAACCACCCAAGAAATGAGGACCTTGAGACTAAAACGGAAAGCGTGCAAAAGATTGAAGAAGGGTGCTCAGATCATAGGGTATGTACATCACCATCCTTGTGCTGTAAATTAAACTCTGACTTTTTTAGTTTCTGATCATCCATCCACAAGCATTCGTTCGTTTTCTCAGCTTGTTAGCGTTGGGTTACTGTAGGGAAAAGAGTGTGCACTTTTGTGTGAACAGATGTCGAACACTAAAGCAGCTGAGTTTGTGCCCTGGCAACTAACCCCATGAGAACGTGTGGTGTCGGCTGTTGTCTGGCAGATTAAAAATATCTTGGGTTGAGATCAGTCTCTGTCTGCTCATGGATGAAAACGACTGCAGTCACAATGATCTGACAGAGAAAACCGCCTCCAAAACTCTAGTACCAGACTGTTCGGTCATGAACTTCTAAGTAGAAGGGCTTTCTTCTGTTTTTATAAGCAAGTTGTGTTTTTTTTAATTATCTTAAGCTAACGTACAGCAAAAAGCAGTGATTTCATTACTGCAGGGCTTGGGTCATTTGAATCTTTAACTGTGAGCACCAATGAAATTGGAACAGCAATGAAAAGGAAATCTTCTTTCAGCTGCTTCCCTTTCTGGGGTCACCATAGTGAACTCGGCGAGAGTTCGGGGGTGGGGATATCGGGGGAACTTGAGAGACTTTGTTTATATTTGCACAAAGACTCGGCAGTTGTTTTTACGCCGGATGCTCTTCCTGACTCAACCACAGACCAACGAGCTACTACAGCCCTCTGTGTGGAGCAGAGAGCTGCCATCTGGGGCGCCTGCGGGGCAGATGGTGGGGGTTGGGGGCCTTGCTCAAAGGCCCAGAGTGTGGCAAACGAGGGTGGAGGCAGGTGTGGGTGCTTCACCTTTTCCACCCACATTTTGATGTTGTTGCTCCAGGGGGTCCAGCCGGCAACCTTCCGATCACAGGCTCGCCTTCTCTAACCTCTGAGCCCCCACTCCCCCATGGCTCACGAGAACGTAAAATAAAGCACAAGTAATGAACTCCATGTCATGGAGTTCATGACAAGTTCAAAAAACTTTTTGAATGAAAATCTATGTCATGGATTTTTCATTCAATTTTTTTTTTTTTAACTGGTAAGTTCTGTCTCACAATACACAACCATTAACAGTTAACCAGCAGATTGTCTGGTCAGTGTGAGTTGCTGGTATCTGTTGATGTAACCATAGAAATCAGCTGAAACAGGCTTGTTTTCCAAATCAGTAACTGGTCTTTGCTGCTGCCAGAGTCTTAACTGGAGTTAGTAGGAGAGATCATCTCTCTCCAGTTTTAGCTTCTCTCCATTGGCTCCGTGTCAAATCCAGAATTGAATTTAAAATCTTACTTCTAACCTACAAAGCTCTCAACAACCTATCTCCATCAGATATTACAGAGCTTATTGTTCCATATTTTCCTAACAGAGCACTTTGCTCTCAGACTTTAGGCTTACTTGTGGTTCCTAAAGTTTCCAAAAGCAGAATGGGAGGAAGATCTTTCAGTTATCAGGCTCCTCTCTTGTGGAACCAACTTCCAGTTTCTGTCTGTAAGCCTGACACATTGTCCATTTTTAAGACTGGACTTTTTGATAAATCCTATAGTTAGAGTTTACTTGCTATGCTGCCATAGACTTAAACTACTAAAGGACAAATTGACCTCATTTCCTTAAATGAATTGTTACAAATGAATAGTTTTCATTTGATACTATTTCTATCTTAACGTGACTCTCGACCTGCCATTGTGTATCTGTTCCTCCTTCCTGTTCCTCTCAAACCCAGACAGTCGAAGCAGATGGACGCTTGTCCTGAGCCTGGTTCTGCTAAAGGTTTCTTTCTCATGACGGAGTTTTTCCTCTCCACTGTCGCCTTCATGCTTGCTCAAGATGAGAGTTCTGTGATGAAGTTAAACTCAAATCAGTCTGCTCCTCAAATAAATAATGTTAACTTGTTTTTTTATATTTGAATGTTTCTGTTCAGTGCCCTGAGATGACTTCTGCTGTGACTTGGTGCTATATGAATAAACTGAGTTGAACTGGTCATTGTGAGAATGGCACAGATGTATTGAAGACAACAGTGAGCCACTGCTAATGTTGAAACTGCTTTGCTCTGTTTATTTTATTTTATTTTTTTGCCCGAGGGGTGGGGGGGGGGGACAAGTTAAAAAGCTCTACGTCGCGCAACTTCAACAATGCAATGTTATTTGCATTGCATGCTTGTGAATTTAACCTTATTAAACTTATTTCATAATCAAACATCAAACTGTGCTGTAAATAACATTGCATTGTTGTAGTTGAGCGACGCAGAGCTTTTTAACTTGTTCATAAAATCTACAACTTTATATTCCGATGACGCTGGAGGCAGATTGAGGGGGGAAAAGGTTTTAATGTCTACAAGTTTGAGAGCCAGTTGTTGGGAGTAAAGAGTGGATTTTGATTAATCTGGAGTGAATTTAATGCTGACATCAACAGCGCCCTCAGAACATGAAAAACATTTAGTGGTACTTTACCTCAGTCTGGTTTTAGTGGAAATGTGTGGAACTTTGATTTGAAAAGCCTCTGATGCTGTGGTAGTGAACGAGAGGCTAAAGTAGTTATCGCCAGCCACCCAACCCGAAAGGGTGATTAGATTTTTTCTTGTGTTTGTATGGATGTGTGTGTGTTTGATTGTTCATGGCATTAGTAAAATATATCATGAACCATTGGAAGGATTTCAGTAGATGAAACATTTACAGCGGTTTGACTTTTGTAGTCGGTCCTATTCAAAATGGCCACACAGTCAGTTAACCTCAAACACAAAAATGGCTTTACCTCAGCCAGTTTTACAGAGCTTGAGCTAATATGTGATGTGGTAGTAGCTGAGACTGATTCCCAACACATGCGTCAAGCCCTAACAAATCTCACAATATCTTGCATTATCAAATAAGCTTGTGCATAAAGTTATATATGAGGCTTGACGGCTATAAACTCGAGCCTTGTTCACTGAGGCACAACTGAAATGTGATGGTTTACATACTGGATTTAGTAAACATGGATAGAATAAATAATTGTTGAAATCTTTTCATACAACATATTCATAACACATGAATTAAATCATGAGACATCACAGGGAAAAAATATTTCTCAGGAAGGCAGAAAACCACTGGTTTGATCCAAAAATGTTTATTCTGTAATAATAAAAGTTCATACAACTGATAAATAATATCAGAGGTAAAAAAAAAAAAGTCCCCTTTCAAAATGGAGGATAACTGTATAACTTCAAATAGAAATACTCGAGACCGTTGTTTCTTCCTGATATTTGACTGAGCTGCTTCCAGTTCAAAAATGAAATATATTTTAAAACATAAGTAGCATTTATCTTGAATTAAAAGAGTGACTGCACTAACGAGAGTTACTGACGGTGTGCTGCTTGTACGAGGAAGTGGGAAGCTGTTTGCTGTCAGCTCTCACACATACGGCATTTAGAAGGAAGATGATGCTTCATTGTTGCGCAAAGCGTGAAATATTTTACTTTGTCATCATGCTTGGAAAACTTCACTGTGCATGAACCCTAGGGATGTTTTTGATGCCTCTCACTCAAGCTTTACCGTTATGGAGGTGTGTATTTTTTTTTTTAATTACTTGGTCTCGTTTCCTTTTTTCCATAATTTCCCTTCCTGTTCTGAGAGCCCCCACAGCCAGCTCATTATTAACACACTCACATCAGTGCTGCATGCTGTTGTACACAACAACCAAACAACAATTATAGCAAGCCCTTTGTGTATTTATTCAATATATTCCATAGAGCATCATTTTCACCCACTGGTTTGTGTTTCTAGTGCAACAAAATGGTTAACTAATATCACATTTGCACCAACTAGTTGGGCTAAATTGCCACTAGTTGTGTTTTTTTATAAATTATAAATTGCCACGAGTGTTTAACTAATGCACCAATAAATTGAACCTGTGCAAATAAATGTGCAACTTGTGCAGTGTAGTCATGAACTTGTGAATAAATACACAAAGGGTTTTCCAAACATTGAACCTTAGCCTCAGCCAAGAGAGGAAAGCTGGTTAATCAAATCAGTGCAGTGATTGCACAGTTTGTTACAATGATTAAATTATTTCTAAGCTCTGTAGTATAATTGGAAAGAGGAAGCTAATAGAAACAAAATGTTAAGAGACTGGAGTTGGATTATAACAATGCTCTATGCTTCCTCTTATCTGTTTTATTTTCAGCTCAGATAAAACCCATTTCCTGTCATGATATGTACTTTAAGCCATAAAATACCAACTATTTAGTTTTAGATAACCGCATCACGCTGAAAGCTTAAATTAGATCACTTCACTAACTCCATCAGAATGCAATCGATTCACTTCAAGTCAATTTTATTTATGCAGGATTAACAACAAAAAATAAACCAAACAGTTCTAGATCTAATTATAATTCCATATTAATAACCTAACTCGTGTATTTATATTTTCCCCAGGAGACAAATGAACAAAAGCTGTTTAATATTGCAAGCGAGCTCCTGCACACCGAGAAGGCCTACGTAGCGCGACTTCACCTGCTGGATCAGGTAAGGGAAATCCCCATCTTGCTTTTGGTTTCTAACTTGTCGATGGTTTACACTTCACAGTACAAAAGTCTTAATTTACCCTAAATGTTTATGGTTCTTTAGGTATTCTGTGCCAAACTAATGGAGGAGGCAAATAAAGGAACGTTCCCTGTGGATGTAGTGAAAAATATATTTTCCAACATCGTCTCCATCCATGCCTTCCACAGCCAGTTTCTGCTTCCTGATCTGGAGAAACGCATGGGCGAATGGTGAGCTTCACTTCTGAGTTTGGATTGGGACGCCCACTGTGGGTTGTAATACATTTAATGTTGTGTCTTGAGATAATGCACACTTTTCCCGGCAATCCATCAGTAATCAACCCCTTTCACTTCTTCTCCACAGGACGTCTACACCTCGGATCGGAGACATTCTTCAGAAACTCACACCCTTCCTTAAAATGTATGCTGAATATGTGAAGAATTTTGACAAAGCTATGGAGGTTCTGAAACAGTGGATTGATCGCTCTCCTCAGTTTAAGGCCATCATTCAAGAGATACAGGTACACACTGTGAACTACAGGCTTTGTAAGGTTGAGGGTGAACATACGGATTTCTTTTTGGGATTCAGAGGCAATGTGTTGAACATAATGGTACTTCTTCCAGCTATTTAACTGTCAGTAGTGGTGTACCACAAGGCTCAGTCTTAGGTCCCGCCCTCTTCACAATCTACATAAATAATGTAGGTCAGATCATTCCCGATACCTCTCTACATTTCTATGCCGATAACACAGTTGTTTACTGTCAAGCTAGAACAGCTGCTAAGGTTTTCCAGCTTTTACAGTCTACATTCGACATCATTCAGTCAGATTTGTTCTGTCTCAAACTGGTGCTAAATGCTGATAAAACCAAAGGGATGTTGTTTTCAAACAGGAAATTGGTACCAGTAGTCCGTCCCTCTGTCCTATCTATGAATGGTGTTCCTGTTGAGTTTGTCGATTCTTATAAATACTTCGGAATTTTGGTCGATGCACATCTCTTTTTTAAGTCAAGTCAAGTCAACTTTATTTATAGAGCACATTTAAAACAGAACCTGTTATCAAAGTGCTTAACAACAGCAACAATCAATGAGTAAATTAAAGAGAAAAATATATAAACATATATATATACAATACACTAATAATAATAACTGAAGAATTAATAAAAAGCATTTAAAACATAGGGTCGCAGATTAAAAAACACTAGATCAATTTACACTGTGTGAAAAGCCTGCGAGAACAGGTGTGTTTTAAGCAGGGATTTGAAGTGAGGAAGGGAGGTGGCCTGCCTGATGTTGGGGGGCAGGTTGTTCCAGAGTTTGGGGCCCATGACTGAAAAAGCCCGATCTCCTCTGAGCTTCAGTCTTGTTTTTGGAACAGCCAAAAGCAGCTGATCGGATGATCTCAGAGCCCGAGAGGGAACATAAGGTTCCAGAAGCTCAGAGAGGTAAAGGGGTGCGAGGCCATTTAGGCATTTGAAGGTCAACAGAAGAATTTTAAAAACAATCCTCGTACGAACAGGGAGCCAGTGAAGGGAGGACAGAACTGGTGTAATATGTTCAGACCTACGAGTTCCGGTTAAGCCTCATGTCAAAAACGTGGTAAAGAAACTGAAAGTTAAATTGGGTTTCTTTTTCAGAAACACGTCCTGTCTAACTCTGAACACTAGGAAACACCTTGTAACTGTGACTTCTGTCCATTGACATTATTTACATGAATGCTCCTACAAGCACCTTGTAGATGATGGACGCTGCCTATAATGGTGCGCTAAGATTCATAACTGGCTGTAACTACCGTACCCACCACTGTACTCTGTATTCACTGGTTAACTGGTCATCATTAACTTCACGCAGACTCTCACACTGGTACATTTCCATCTTTAAATCACTTTTTGGGCTGTTGCCTTCATACATCTCCTCCTACATGTCACTTCTTCAGTGCAGCTACAGCGTGCACTCTCAGGACATCATTACCTGCAGTGTCCCATCAGTGCAGACCGAACTTGGCAAAAGGGCCTTCTCTTACTCCGCTCCTGTTTCCTGGAACACCTTGCCAAAAGATCTGAAGCTCTCGGCCTTGACCTGTCTAAGGGATTTTAACTTATTGTCAAGTTCATGGCAAAAACCAACGCAGACATGTTCCCGTTTTTAGTATTTTACATCGCTTTATAATGTAGCTCTTTTTTATTTTGTTTTATATCACCTCTTTTATGCACGTTTCATTTTATATGCTTTCATATGAATGTTTATTGTTGTCTGTACCATATTTATGGTTTTTGTTTAAAACCAGTGTCTTGTAAATGAGTTCTCGTGACTCATTGAGACTAACTTGTATAAATAAAGGTTGAAGGAATATGAGGTGAAGTATTTATGCATTCCAGGAAGATTCAAGCTTTCTGTTTGTATCTGCACAGAGTCAAGAGATCTGTGGCAGTCTGACTCTTCAGCATCACATGCTGGAGCCGGTGCAGAGAATCCCTCGATACGAGATGCTGCTTAAAGACTACCTGAAGAAGCTGCCTCAGGACGACGCCGATCATAGAGATGCAGAAAGTAAATGGAGACAACATCCTTAAGATGAAGTTTCTCGTTTTTCTTTTAAAATAACTGTACTGTAAATATTTATTTATTTTCAGAATCATTGGACATTATTGCCACAGCAGCTACTCATTCCAACAGTGCCATTAGAAAATCTGTAAGTGAATATGCTGATCTCTAAAGTCGGCTGCAGACTCTCTCAGACTTTTCCATCTGACTAAAGACGGACTTTAATTGTTTAGGAAAACCTAAAGAAACTGATGGAGATTTACGAGATGTTGGGCGAAGAGGAGGACATTGTTAACCCTTCTAACGAGTTCATCAAAGAGGGACAAATCTTGAAGTTGGCCGCCAGGAACGCTTCTGCAATGGAGAGATACCTCTTCCTGGTAAGAAAACTGTGCACACGAGCTGTTTAATGAAGATGAATGAATGATAATGTTCAGAGTGCTTCTTAGTATCTGCATGCAGAATGTGTCTCTGGTGCTTAATTTAAATAACCTACAGAGGTTTAAACTTCCCCTTTAACTCAGCAAGAAATTAGAGCTGTGATGAAGCTGCTGGTTCTTGTTTGTGTAACTCGACTTCATTTTGATTTTTCTGTCAGTTCAACAACATGCTGTTGTACTGCGTGCCTAAATTCAGCCTGGGAGGGCCTAAGTACACCGTGAGGACACGGATCGGGATCGATGGCCTGAAAGTCCAGGAAACAACCAATGAGGACTACCCTCATACCTTCCAGGTGTCAGGCAAGGAGAGGGCTCTGGAGCTTCAGGCCAGGTACAACTACAAGCAGAAACACCTCAAGTTTGGCATTCATTATGTTTTTTTTTTGTTGTTGTTTTATGCACAAATATCTAATCTCTTCCTGCAAACTTCTCTATTATTATAGAAGATGTGTGGTTTATACATTTGGAGAAACTTAAATAATCTCCAGAATTCAAATTAAAATGGTTCTTACTACTTTCTATAATTGTTACAAAAGATAAAAATAATGGTCATGAATGGCAAAAGTAGTATAAGTTAATAAATATTTAGGCTATTTGTGTTTTCATTACACCATTATTAACCACTTTAGGTCTATTCTGATTTATAATATTTATAAAACTGAGCAGCTATTTTTGATTTTCATTGATTTCAACTAAAGATTTTAACGGATAACTTAAAAATTTTAACATTTTTCTCCTAGTTGAAATGAACATGTCACTATATTCATAATAAAACATTTATCATAAAATAGGTTCTGTATATTTTCCAAAATGACATTTGGTTACAGAATCTTTTCTCTTTGCCACTAAAACGCTACAAACAAAATGCTCATGTTTGTTAGTCGATGTACTTTTACAGATAATGTCTAATGGAAAAAAAAGCAATAAATTTTCATTAAAATCCAGATACTTTAATGTTTTTACTATTTTGCACATCTCAAAGCCTAAAAATGCACCACATAGTTAAAGATATTCACCGTTAAGTTTTTCAGTACCTGAAATTATAAAATGGGAAAATACCACTTAATTATTGTTAGATCTAGTAAATTGTTAAATCATTTCTACATTTTTTGTAACTCACTTTGTGAATTACAGCTTTATAAATGCACATACCATTTTCACATAGCTATAGTAAATTTTAAAACTGATTCATATAATTAGATGTTTGCATTAAGCTAAAAAAAATCAGCTGATTCCAGTCACCTGCTGAGCAGTTTGTGCGTTTCTTACATTTCTGCCACATAATATAACATATATGTATATGTGTGTGTATATATATATATACACACACACACACACATATATGTGTGTGTGTGTGTGTGTGTGTGTGTGTGTGTGTGTGTATATATATATATATATATATATACACACACAC